ATCATCATCAGTGTCATTGAAAGAAGTCTTTCTCCCTTTCCAATAGCAACCAGCAACCTTCTTAGGTTTATCTCTAATACCAAGCCCCTGTTTTCCTGATGTAGCCTTATCCTAAACAAATTCGAAACAAAGTATCAAATTAATTTCCCTGCAAAATTGAGTGTTTTATTATAGGTTTAAATCAAGGAAAATTTACATACATACAATGAATATTCTTATGCATTTACATGTCTAACATCCAAATTTTGATATTCACGCTTATTATATCTTGATGTCATAAACCCATGCGTGAAGTGTTTTACTTTTAAAAGGATAGTAATGGTATTTTTTATGTGATGTTAAAGATTGGAGTGGTATGCATGTAAATATCAAATTCATATTTATATGCATAGCATTGAAATTTTTAGCATCACATCACACATTCCACCGCCACTATCTTTTTAAAATTGAAATACATCCATCCATGCATAGGTTTATGACACCAATGGGTTATAAATGTAAATATCAAACTTTGGGTGTTAGATATGTAAATACATAACAATTGTGTAGTACGTATGTAAAGTTCCTAAACATAAACTAAACTAAGAAGGCACAGAGCCTGCAAAATATAAGAAATAGAAGATAAGGTATATCAAAATATTTGGTACTTAAACTGATAAAGTTTTTAAAATGAATTACAATGCACAATTGGATGTTTTTGTTCTTTGAGAGCCTTAGAGCCCCACATTAAAAATAAAAAATACCACTATTATGAATTTATTAAAAGTGAAATACATCTTTTCATGCAGAGGTTTATAATACAAAAGTATTATAAATGAAAATACATAAAAATTTTATGGTATGTATGTAAATTTACCTTCTTTTTTCAGACTCTCCAATTCTACTGCCACAATCCAGTAGTGAAATACACCTCTCGATCACGTGACAAACTAAGTCATTAAGAAATAAATCAAGAAAATCTCTTATAATGGGCTCTCTTCTGATCAGCTTAACTTCGCTGCCTCACACTCAATGTGGACTAGGCAGGCTTGGGACGCCTAAATAAAAAGCTAGCTAGTTGTAAAAGTGAACACTAAATTAATAATTCCTTGAAGCTCTCTATGGAGAGTAAGGCTCAACCAACTTGGGTCTTAAAAGTTCACATTCGTCGCTAGACAATCTAAATATGACGAGATGCTCGGCCATTCAATCCATTCCAAGCATTTACATCAAACTCCATCAACAAAATAGAATCAAAGATAGAGAGAAAGTTTTATGCTGAGACTCAAAGCACCACGCACACATAATAGAACTCATTGTTTATAGGGATTGCAACAACATTCAACCACTTACAAATCAACTCAAGTACGAATGAAAGACAAACCTCAGAATAGTCAACTCATCTATATAACCTCTTGGCGAGCGAGAGCAAAAACTAGACTCATAATTGGTCAACTATTCGGGAAGTGAGCTCTCCTTACAGCATTAAGTAGTTCCAACAGAGTAAGTTAAAACGACATTTTACATCACTCCTTGGTGTTGCTCAACAAAATTATGGCCAATGAAGGATGACTTTTTGTTGGCCTCCTTTGTGAAAAAATTGTTAGAAATGTATATCAATGCTTGAAATTGATAGAATTGTCGAGTTTTTCCAGTGCTCTGGCAAAATTCATCACTATTTCTTATTTTAAAAAATGGAGTCAGAGATTCTATCCAAAAACGAGTATCCCTCTATTTAGCATTTTCTAAAACTTTGTTGCAACAAGCAATGATGATGAAGAGCTAGCAAAGAGATGCACACGCGAGGAAAGACTACCACAAGCAAACAATTGAAACATCCAAATAATATAAGATGACATAAAAATAGAGTTTTAACAAACCTTGACCAAAATGTGGTATATGATGGAAAAACTTTTGGAGAGTATACTTGCATTCACTAGAGGATACTTGCCCAATGACTTTTATACCAACACCTCTCAGGTGATGGTCTCTAGTCATCCATCAAAATGAATATCTAGTTGCATCATCCACCGAAATTCAAGATCCTTGATTAAATAAAAGTAGTCATAATCATCTTCCGCATTTAGTGTATTCAAAAGTTTTCACTATTATAGTCAACCTTCAACTTCAAGAACGACTCAAGCCACTGGTTTTTGGAAGAATTTTTAGCAACAGGAACCAAAAATTTAGCCATGGCTTGTACCCGCACCACCAAGATCTGAGTTAGCAACTTAGGAGCAATTTTGGTAAGATGAGCGGTGCTAATCATTAAAGGTGATGCCATAATAAGTGTAGGCTCTCGAGAGTTTCTTACACATATTCATAGAGTCCCCATTTGTCCTAAAGTTTTCCCGGAAACAAAATTCATCTCTTTGCTTAAAAAACCACACTTCTTCCTGCTAAATCCTTTCCTCTGAATGCCATGTATAACAAAAATCATTATCAACTTGAAACATCAATGTTAAAAAAATAAATTGATGCATGCAAACTAGCTTATTCTTTCCGTTCTGTCCCCCAGGCTAAATCCTAGACTATACTACAAAATATGTCAGAACACAAATACAGCTGGGCATTCCAAGTGCAATTATCCGAACAAATCAGTTTGTTGTGATCAAACCAAGTTAAGTTGTGATATGCATGCTAAGAAAAATTCAAGCAAACAACACATAAAACAAATGGAATAATATATGAGAAATGAGCAGAATATAATGAATGAGTCAAAGCCAGATGGCTTTAGAGTTCTATAGTTTTAAAGAAAAAGGCAACTAAGTCGACAACTTCTAAGCAAAACTCTCATCTTATCTTTCTCTGAGCATCTCACCTTATGTTTGCCACATTCATGTATGACTCCATGCTTGGAGATATGTCAACAACAAGAAATGAGATAAATAAGTGAAAAATATGCATCAAAACAGCCAAGAAAACAGCTAAATAAGCTCAAATTTTATTCATCCAGCCTGCCTAATGAATAAAAAATGAATGCATGCTAAGAAAAATTCGAGCAAAAAACACATAAAACAATAAGAATATTAAATGAGAAATGAGCAGAAAATAAAGTTATTGAGAGTTAAGTGAAGTGTATGAATATAATGAATGGGTCAAATCCAGATGGACTTAAGAGTTCTATAGTTTTAAAGATAAACGCAACTAAGCTGACAAATTCTAAGCACAACTCTCATCTTGTCTTTCTCTGAGCATGCCTCACCTCTATGTTTGCCTCATCCATTTATGACTCGATGCTTGGAGATATCTCAACAACAAGAAATGCGATGAATAAGTGAAAAAAATGCATCAAAATAGCCTAGAAAACTGCTAAATATGCTCAGAATATATTCATCCAGCCTGCTTAATAAATGAAAAAGATCCACCGTGATATCAAATCCTCAGACCAAGAGGAAATATGAATCCTGGCAAACATAAATGAGTTCTTTTGCTTTAATACCACATTTGTTTTCACTTATTACATATTTTCAGCATCCAGCCAAGATCACAAAGCACAATAAAATGACAATCATAATACGAAATGCATGCTAGAGCTGTTACTTGTGTTCGAACTGAAGGAGGATTGACCAAATACTTTCCTATTTCTGTTGGATTACATCAGTGATCGGCTTTAAGTCCATATCTTTTTGCTTTAGTTATGGATGGTCTTACTAGACATTTACAGGAGGATGTACCTTGGTGTATGTTTTTTTGTTGATTATATCCTTATTGTGATTGTGGATAAGACAGAAAAAGCCCAGGAAAACTTGAATTATGGAGGTCTACATTGGAGTCTAAAGGCCTTCATTTGAGTAGAACTAAAACCGAAAACATGGAATGTAATTTTAGCAGTAGTAGCTCTAGAGACAGAAGTGTAACTTTGGGTGATCAAATTATTAAAAGGAGTGAACGATTTAAATATCTCGGGTCTATTGTTAAAAGCGATGGTGATATAGATGTGGATGTTGATATTATAATTCAAGTTGGTTGGTTAAAGTGGAGAAATGCTTCGGGCCTTTTGTGTGATTGAAAAGTACCACTTAGACTGAAAGGAAAATTTTATAAGATGGTCGTGAGACATGCAATGCTCTATGGTGCTGAATGTTGACCTTTAAAAGAGAAGCATAATACTAAGTTAAGTGTTGCCGAGATGAGAATGATTAGGTGGATGAGTGGCTTTACACTTAGAGACAAAATGAGAAATGGATGTATTCGTGATAGGTTTGGTGTTGCTCCAGTGACGGACAAAATTAGAGAGAGTCGTCTAAGATGGTTTGGTCACATTAAACATCGACATCTGATGATCCCATTAGGAGAGTAGATGTTTTAGATTCGACTTATGTTAAGAAAGGCAGAGGTAGACCTAAGAAGACGTGGGCCTATTGTATAAAAAAAATTATTTATTAGAACTAAATGAAAATATGACACTAAATAGGACGCAATGCAGAAAAAGGATTCACTTAGCCGACCCCACCCCCACGTAGTGGGATTAAGGCTTTGTTGTTGTTGTTGTTGTTGTTGTGACTAGTCATTAAAGTCACTGAAATCTACTGTTCTACTTATACACTTATACTAGAAGTTTCCTAAAATCAAATAACAAAAAGCTCATCACAATTAGGTTAGCATGCTTAGCCTAGAACTAATCAATAGCTCACTTAAGCCACTCATCGATGAGGCAAATTATTCGTTCCTAAACATTATCAATATAAACTGGCCAAACTCTCCAAAAAATGTCCAAAATGTTCATTCAAGAAGTCTGGTCACAATAGATCCAATCAATCCAACATCGTGCAAATTTATTTGAGTTATATCTTGCTTATGACGCATGGGACCTCTTGAAAAAGAAACAATTAACACTGCCCCTGCGAATATATTTCAGAGCAGTTCATATAAAAAAAAAAAAAATGATGTGGATTGGCACAAATTGGAGTGGTAATGTAATATATACAGCACTACTTTCAAAAACAAGCATGTGTGATGCAATCCGTAAGTGCATGTAAAATAACTACTAAAATATACTTAGATAGGTTTTACATTTTTTTTCACTGCTATTATAAAGCATAAGTGTGACTAAAAAAAGGGTTAAGGAGTCAAATGAAAGGAATATATTACATGTTAAAAAAAGGGAAATTTGCATACATAGCACACAACTCTTATGTATTTACAAATACCACACCTAAACTTTCATATTTACGTATAAAGCACTTCGGTGCCCATACATGAAAAACTGTATTTTATCTTTAAAAACTGGTAATAGTGCTACTTTTGATGTGAGATTAAGGATATGAGTACTATGTGTGTAAATATGAAAGTGTGAGATATGTAAATACATAAGGACTGTGTACTATGTATGTAAATGCTCCCAAGCCACCCCCAAAAAAAAGAAAGAAAAACCAACAAGTCAAAAGGCCTGCTTGCAACCTTAAAATTATTCTAATGTTTCAATTTAGTGGCTATCATATACAAAAATAAGATTTCAAATATCAAATAGCTGAATTTAGTAGAGAAAAATCTACCTGTACGAGTTTGTATAAATTCTCTTGATCTTCTTCACCAAATGATTTCCTTGTCCCAAATGCAAGACATTGAGGATCTTTCACTAGCAATGCTTTACTACTTCGGGATTGCGCGCCAAGAAAACCTCCTGAGACAAACCCATATTTGTGTCCCCACCAATGTTCTGATTTTTCTTCGATTTTGGAACCTTTTCCATAAAATAGTAAGTCACTTGAGCCAAAAGAGATGCAAATAAAGCAAAGGCTGAATCATTTGGAAACCCTAGCAATATATTATTTTATAACATGCAGGCAAAAGAGAACAAAAAACTTGCGATCATTTACAACATGGAGATGGTGATATATTTAAAATAGACAAAAAAAGTTCAATTATTTGGTAATACATGCAAGAACAATATAAGACATCATCATCAATAAGTTATCTTAAGTATTGGAGAGAATAACTTTATAATTTCTCATTCTACATTTAGCCCACTTGAATCTTGTATGAGTTATAGGTTTTATTTTGCGCGACTGTCCTTGAACAACTTCTAGACATGTTATACTTAATATACTCGTTCTCCTTCCTAACTATTCCAAACTAATTTTATCTACCCGCTTATTTGGTTCATCTTCTACCCTCAATATATGCACAATCACCTTAGTGTCTTTTCACTACTTTATCTTCAAGGGGCATTCACATACATAGCACACAATTTTTATGTATTTAGATTTCTCACATCTAAACTTTCACATTTACACGCATAACACTTAAATTTTTAATGTCACATAAAGTATGGCACTATTATCACTTTTTAAATGTGAAATACATATTTTCATGCATGAGTTTGAAGCACCAAAGTGCTATTGTATGAAAATATAAAAGTTTAGGTGTGAAATATGTAAATACATAAGAAGTGTGTTCTAAGTATGTAAATCTACCAATCTTTAATAGATAATACTCTTATAGTCTCTCTAATATTAATAATTTCCCGTCTAATCTTAATTTTAACACATTAATCTAAATATTCTCAATCCTCAGCTATTCTATTCAAAGAATATATGTCACACAAGACTCAAATCCGTGTAAATTAATTAGTCAAACTACAATTCTATAACACTCACAATTATGCATAGACAAAATTCCCTTTTGTATAACGCCCCTGACATTTCTTTGTTTTAATCACCCCACCTAAAGCCAAAATTTATATTTTCATTATTTTGTAAAATATGTTTAAATATTGATATAATAGGTCTAACATATTTAAAACAATCACGACAATGTATCACTAACTCTTTCAACAACTATTTATTACAAAATTCACACCAACTAAAATTACAAATCATAGTACTCGCAACTTAGCACCACTAATCACGGGTGTCTTCTAAAATAATTCACCATTATAAGAATTACATTATTTTAAAATAACACAAACCAACCTCAATTTGACTAATACAAAAATAAATAGAGTTAATATTGATCAAAGATACAATCAAACTATGATAAAAATTCTTTGGTCAAAAAATTAAACACTAGAAAAAACAGTTGATCACAATGTTATTTTTATTAGTTGATCATTTAAATTTTCAAGCATGAACTACATCAAACTTTCAAGCACGAACTACATCAAACCAGTAAATTGTCAGAGTAGCATAATTACATGTGATTGTAATACCCTTTTCTAAATGATTGACTAGCTGATGAGTGTCATTAATTCAGTATTCACGAAAAGGGGTAGCTCCCTATGGCGCAGGGTTGTCACTTGAACCAGTTCAGACAGTTCAAGTGGGATTAGGAGGGTCGGTCGGTACTCCAAGAGTTTGGGGTTGCCGCCAAAGTAGCTGGGGTCCCTCCTATTTTACCTAGTCTATTTATGTCATTTCTATTGGCTCTAGGGCATTTTTGCTTGCTTTTTCAAATTTTTGTTCAGCTAGTTGTCGGCAATTGTTCTCTCATTCTAGTGTTGTATTTGAAGACGAGAAGGTGCTCCAACTATGACTCGTTTGAGGGGGTTACCTTCTCCAAAAGTTCAAGTGGTGTCCAATACTATAGGTCGATCCTACGGCGATATCTACCCTTACCCAACCCCTCCGCAAACTTTTAGCAATCCCCCTCGCTTCCGCTGTACCCGGAAAGCCTTTGTCAGCCGTTATTTTTTTTTGAAGGAATGAAATGATTTTTGTAAATATAAAAAAGTTTTGATGTAAATATGATTTTTGAAATTAACATTTTAATTTAAAAATAGAAGAGACCAAATGAGTCTCACATATTAAATAATTTAGACGATTGAATGCGATACCACAAGTAATACACTATCCCGAAGGATAAGCATATCACTTGACAGTAGACTCAACCACATAAGCATATCACTTGACAGTAGGCTCAACCACATAAACTAAAGAGTTTGTGACATCCGTTCGGTTTGCAAAACCATTTATTTATGTGCAACTTAGTGAATTTTGTGCATTTCGTGTGTGTGAGTGTGTGTGGATAAGGTCTTAAAGAGGTTTCCCTAGGGCTTAAGATCCTATTGGGAGCTTCTCCCTGAGTCTCCACATGATAGTCCTTAGCCACTCAACTAAACGACGATGATTTGAGATCATCAATGCGACACCACAAGAGAATTAAGAAGTGACTTGAATTTCTAAGATGAATGAATTCCAATACTAGTCCTCTAAGATAGTCAATAGAAACTCCAAGAGCTTGATCCTAGAATCCTAAGGAATATAGTAATGACCTCAAAATGAGGTCAACAGCCCTCCCTCTGTTGTCCAATGACACCAACCGCCCCTCTAAATGGTTTCCTTATTTTCAAATCCCTGCACCCCCTCACCCCTACGATCGCTTATTCTTGCCCCCTACCAGTTTGTTGTTGCCCATCCTACAGCACCCTTACTGTCTAGTTGCACCCCTCGCATAATTTGCTTGTTGTTGCATTACCTCTGCTCGCCTGCTTGTTGTCCACCCATCAACCCAGCTCACCCTAGCTGTTGCAAACCTCTCCCTAACACCCACCACTCCCCGCTGCCACTATCTCGACCCAAAGCCCAACATTTCCATCCTCACCCTAGGGTGGAGTGTACATTGTATTTGTGTTGTTATTTTGCTAATTGCAAGAGTGTTTGTTTGTTACCCCTTTTGAATTTCAGTAATAATATTTGTTTTCTATTGTGGTTTGAGTTAACCCTGGTATCAATTAATGTCATACATAGCCTAACTTTAATCCTATCATTGGGTTTCCTAACATCCACCCTACCCAAGCCACCCCCAACAAAAAAATTATTCTTTCTTGTTCCCCCAAACCCTAACCACGTCAGAAACCTACCCAGAAAGAAATACAGGAAGAGATCCATCGAGTTCAGCAGATAATTGTAAAGATTGATGACAAAACCTAGGGGCAGATTACCCTTCATCTTAATATGGAAAGTTAAAAAGGAGAAAGGGAAGAGGAATCGAATCCCTTCCATAGAGAAGACATTGGTGATGGGGAAGACACGCCTCGAAGCTTCAGAATTCATTATCAAAGGAGGCCCAGAGAGGAGGCACCATGTGGAGGAAAGATTTTGGAATTAAAGTGGACCTGCAGGAGTTTGATGGAGGTATGGATCCCGATGATTTCATCGAACGACCAGTTGAGAGAATCATTGAATACAGAAAGGTGCCAGAACTGAAGGTCAAGCTTGCGGCCATTAAATTGAGAAAGAGGTCAACCTTGTGGTGTGAAAATTTAGAGAGGCAAAGAAAGAGAAAGGGCGGTGACAAAATTTGCAAGTGAGAGAAGATGAGGAAAGAGATGCATAGACAATACATATCATCTAATTACCGCCATAATATGGTTCTGAGACTTCACCATCTGCAAAAAAAAAGACTTATCAGTGGAAGAGTTCACGACACAGTTTGAATAGCTGCGGATGAAAAGTGAGTTGGTCGAACCAGAATAACATTCCATAGCCCAATATTTGGGAGGCCTAAAATCCGACATCAGTAACGTTGTTCAATTGCAGTCTTATTGGTCACTGGGAGATGTCTAGAATATAGCATTGAAAACTGAGAGACAACAGAAACAAAGTAAGCAACCACCACAATTCAAACAACCACCTGCAATTGGAGACATCACTAAAAGCAAGCCTCAGGGAGTTTTTGAGCCTCATTACTCAGAAGCATTCCTATTCAAATTCTCAAACGTGATTTAAAGAGAATAGAGTCAACATTAACATGTGTCTATTGGAGTTTTTGATTAGAAGTCGGCTGTATGATCAGGTGTGGTGTGACGTGGTGCCCATAAATGTCTGTTATCTTTTACCAGGAAGACCGTGGCATAATGACCTCGATACTCGTTATGACGAATACAGGAACACCTACTCCACCAAAGATGGTAATCATAACATCCTTCCACCTGCGGAGTCCAAGATCACAGATTCCCTTGTCGGCGGAAAAGTGTAGGTGGGATCAATTTTGGTGACGATAGAGGATGATAAGATTAAGACGCCAATTCCAGTCATGGGACAGTCACGAGAAAAAGTATTTCAGAACATCACGATCGATACATTACCGTCATGGCCAGCACCGTGGGGAGAGATTTAGGCTACCCTCATTTCAAATCAGGTTAAGTCAACCGTAGGTTACACTAGGAAGATTCAGCAATACTGGATACGAAGTCACAGTTCAATTCAGAAGTGTATCCCGGAAGATTGAACTGAAATGGATGTATTGTTGCATGTGGAGAAAACTCAAGTGTTTTAGGTGTCAAGGCAGTCATCAATGAGATCCAGAAGCTTTGAGGGCCACCCTTGAAGAGCCTTAAGGCCCAGGTGTTCACAACAGCTCCATAACTGTCAACAGGGAGACATAAGCTTCGACGAATAAGGTCGAAGCTCCCCCAATCCCGATAGACTGACAAGGGGCTGCCCACCTAAACTGGTTCAGTTGGTTCAGGGTGATATTACGAGTGTCGGTCAGTATTCCTGGTGCTTAGGGTTGCTGCCCAAGTGAGTGAAGCCCCTCCTATTTTACCTAGTCTATTTATATGTTATTTCTAATGATTTTAAGTCATTTTTGCTTATTTTTGGATTTTTTGCATGGCTTGTCATCAACGATTGTTCTCCCGTTCTAGGGTGGTATCCAGAGACTGTTCTCCCGTTTTAGCGTGGTATCCAAAGATAAGAATGTGCTCTAGTTGTATCTCGTCCGAGATGATGACCTACTGCAAGGGTTTGAGTGGTGTTCTGGCTGTAGCTCAATCGGACAGAAATATCTATCCTTGCCCAACCCCTCTGAAGACTTTCAGCCACACCCCCACCCCCCCCAATTGTTCTCGTACGCGGACAACCCTCCTATTGTTTTCCAATGACACCAACCTCCCCTTTATCTGCTTCCCTTGCCATTGAATCCTTGCACCACCTCTCTACTGCGATCTCTTATTCTTGCCCCCTTACATTTTGTTGTTGCCCATCCTACCGCACCCCCTATTGTCCAGCCACACCCCTCCCATAGTTTGCTTGCTGCCACACTACATGTGCTCGTCTGCTTGGTGTCCACTTGCCAACCCAGCCCACCCTCACTGCCGCAAACCTCTCCCTACTGCTTACAACTCCCCGCCTCCAATATCTCGACCCGCAGCCCACCACTTTTGTCCTCCCCAGAGTGTCTCTTGTGTTTTTGTTGTAGTTTTTCTAATTGCAAGTCTTTGTATGTAACCCCTTTTATATTTCAGCAATAGTATTTGTTTTCCATTGTACTTTGCGTGAACTCCGGTATCAATCTACCCCCAATCCACCCCTCACCCCTCACCCCTCACCCCTCACCCCACACCCCATTCCCCAAAACCCAAAACCCTAACCCCTAAACCCTTGAACTCCGGTATCAATCTACCCCCAATCCACCCCTCACCCCTCACCCCTCACCCCTCACCCCACACCCCATTATTTTCTCTCATTCTACCATATTATAGTGTAAATTTTAAAAAAATAATAAAATAAAATAAACATTTGAAAGATCATTATAGTTGAATTTTCCTTTACAAAAAAATTATAGTTTAGGATAAAGTCTAGAGAAGTCGGAAAAAATGAATTTAAACTGTTTTCCATTTTTCGCCTATTCTTAATGAAATTTCATGGGTTTTGTGGAAATATGCTTACATGTTCACAAAAAAGAATAACTTACCTAGTTGATGTTGAAAACCTTAGAAATAAAAAACTGATGGCACCATTACTTTGCCTTTTTATGCTATAAATAAGTCTTCAGGTAAGAGCTGGACTCAACAAAAGATTGGTTAAACTTCCATACAATATAATGCTTGAGGATCAAACGCATTAAGAGCTTAAAGAAACATTATAAGTTCTTACTGTGATCCAAAACAAGAGCCTATTTGCTGAAACTAGATATCTAATTCAACGCTAAATTCAAAGAAGCATAAATTGTTCAATAACCTTATTAGCAACTCCATCATTTGTGATATCCCAAAGCATGATGAATCCCCCCATCCATCATATCATTCTTGATAAGTGCTCCTTGAGATTTTTAAAAAAGAATCCTTCACGAATCATCTTTAAACAACATCTATCAAATGTATTAATCTATCAATTTTCCCTATGAATCCTTCAGTACTAATCTTATCTACCCATCTAATGATGCCTTGTTTATCAATTGTTGCACAAATTCATTTCAATTAAGCGTATCCTCAAAAACCAACATTCAATAAAATATCACTTCAATAATTTTTCTAATATAATCATTATTGAATTTGTCCTTCTCACAATACCATCTTAAAATTCTCATTTCAACTCCATCAACTTATCCATCAATGATAATTGGTTGTTGAATACTTGAATACATATAACATCACCAATCTAGTAGAAACTTACAAAATCAAAATCAACATTAAGGTCTCCATGGCATACTCTTATCACATAGTACTATCTATTTTAACCATCCACTATTAATTATTAAAATTATATTCACATTCAAAATCACATAATTTTATATTATAAAAGAAAATATACTTAACCTAAGCACACAGGTACATTACTTGATCTTCAAATAATATTGACTAATAATTGTTAATATCACATGCACTAAAATTGCTACAAAAACTCAACATTTGTTATATTGATTCTAATCCATCTATCATTTAAATATTTTCTTCATTGATTTATTCTGAATTGCAAATAAAACAAACGCTGCATAATCAACTCATGACTCGACTTGATTAAAGCTTGCTCATTATAATTTGATAACTAAACAAACAAACCACAATACTTTTATAAATAATAAGTTGCTAACTGAGCAAGCTCAAGCAACTAATTCTTGATTCATTTATGATCATAAACAATATTACTTAAAGGTCATTAAGAAGTTTGATTAATACCCAATATAAAGCTCAATAAGGCTTAGTGCTCCAGAATGCATACATCAGAAAAGTAACAAGTAAACAAGCTCAGTTTAACAAAGGATTATTTATTAAAAATTAAATTCTTAATTGCTAAATTTAAAAGGCTCTACTCAAAAAGGCCCATTTATTTTTCATATAAGCTACTAAGTATAGAGCTCGTTGATAACAAATTAACAATATTAATAAATTGGTGCCAAGCTCAAACAAGCTTTTCATAAATGGTATCAAACTTGAACACTATAAAAAAAATAAGCTTTTTTTTTTAATTGAGTTGAGTTTGAACAAGATCTTTGCAAAAGATCTCAAATTTGAACAACCTACTGCTCGACATAGTTAGATTCATTTGAAACCCTAAATTTAACTTTTCACTTAGTTCAATAAATATCTAAGAAATCAAAATTAAGATATCAATAAAAAATACATACCAAGACAAATCACTTAGAATATCCTTTATAAACATCTTCATAACAAATACAAAATTATTTGGGCTCAACGTGAATCCTTGATGTAATCCTTATTGATCACTTCAAAAAATTACAAATACAAACCAGTAAAAGCTTTCAAAACTCTAACATATTGTTGGCACACACTATTATCCCTTGTACACATCGAACCAAATACCATGTTACTAAAGCATGAAGATCAATAAAAAATACTATAATGACTCTGCCTTTGCTCTCTACATTTTTATATTAACTTTTTTACAATGAAAAATTATTTCCATAGCAAAATTTCCCATACTAAAACCAAGTTGATTCTATAAAGCAGACATATTTTTCCTAAGTTCTATTTAATTATCCTTCATAATGTTATTGCAAGACTCATTTGTTTGATTATCCCATAACTAACACAACCTTGAGCATTACCTTTATTAATAAATACGAGTACTAAAATACTTATTATCTAATAATTTACATCCATTAAATCATCAACGTTCCATTTAAAAATTTCAATACTTACGCACACTCCATAGAAATTTAATAATTATATAGTTGTCATAATCAATTTGTTAGATAAGTTATAATTTAAGGGTAAAAATATACTAATAGAATGCAAGAAGAGATTTAGTTCCATCGTTAAAAGTAAGCCTAGCATTTTAATGGTTTGAGTGTAACTCCTATATACTAAAACAAGCATTTGCTTGGCAAAAATCATAAAATTTATAAAAAAAAAGATAAAAAAATGATCATATATGGTTCAAAAATAATAAAATAAGCACTGTACTCCAATTATTATTTACCTTCTTGTTCCCTAGTAAGATAATCAGAAACTTCTAGTGGTGTTGGTTCACAAACTGGAAGATTATTCTGACTTTTTTGCTTATTTACCTGTATTGCAAGGGCCAAGTATAATAGACTTGAATGAGCTTGTGATCATTTTAAGGGCGCAAGGCATGCTTGTAAATAGAGAACCGCAAGAATAGTACATACTCCATCAAAAATGAAACAAATAACAAAAAAGAAAATAAAACACAATATCTCCGTAAAAAATGAAACAAATAACAAACAAGAAAAGAGAACCCAAAATATCTAAAAACCCCTTGATAATCATCTAAAGAATGCTCTAAAATAGGCATTCGTTGAAAATGATATGTCAGAGAAATATGAAAATTTTCTTTGCATAATTAATTGGAAGATAAATACAAGATTTAATAATCATGAGCATTAAAAAATGGAAGTGAAAAATGCTATTACAAGGATTCCTTGAAGGTCCTTTTCAGAATATGCATTCACCACCTTGGCCCTCTCTCTCTTCTTATACCTGATAAACAACACAAAATTAAAAAAACAAAGTTTAATTTTGCATAAGAAAGCTAAATAATATGAAGAATTTGCAAAAACATGATTGTGACAACCTTCCCTGAGGTCGGGTAGCTTTCACAGCTTCATCCAGCTCCAGTTTGTCCTTCTCACAATTAATTTGTATGCTTTTTTTCTCAGTTTTTTCTGGGATGAATGTGTGCTAAATTAATTAAACTAATACATTTATTTAAGGATATAAATCAAGAAAACAAAGGTAATACCTTTATCATCTGGTTGTGCTACTTGCTGCAATTGAGAAGTGAAGATCAAACAAGGAAATTAGTTGGAAAAAATAAAACTTTTTGGTTACTTCAAACTAGAATCTACCATCACAGTTGCAGAGAAATAATGATGAACCAAAACCAAATAAACAATGTCAGTACCACTTTTAATCTTTTGAGAATGCTGTCAAACTGTGACGTATCAAACACCCAGTTATTCGCGGCATTATCTGAACCCACACCTGCAACAAAAAATTGCTCCTAGAGTTAGAGAAATTTTTTTGTCACATCAACCAAAAAGTTAACATTTTCAACAATAAGTTATAATTCTTTCAAAATCTTAATAGCCAATATTAAAATTGATTACAATAATTTAAGAAAAAACCTTTTGTATCCTGTTTGTTCTTAACACCAATATGTCTCTTAATTCCCTGCTTCTCTTTTCCAAGCCCTTCTCCCTCCTCCCATCCCTAGAACAAAATGCATGCAAAAAATCGTGGTGATGAAGACAAAGGGCAACATTCCAACAATATGAACTTGCTCAGTGAATTCAATACAGTTTCCAACAAGGAAGAGCCTTTTGAATAGTACTATTTATTGTGAATCTAAATCACGCAGGAAACTAAAGCATGTCAAATAAAATACTGCAAGACGGCAGTTAATAACAATTTTCCTAGGATGCCAACCCCAACCGGATCAGAGCCAACTTAATGCGGCCATAGAAAGGATTAAAATCAAAACCAGCAAAATGAAAGTAAATAAAACGAATAACTTATTCTCTTCAATGGAAGGAGGGATTGGAATGAAATCACAACAGAAGAAATAGCTTTAAGACTGAAATCGGTAAGGAAATGTACCATCTGCTTCATGAGCCGAAAGGCGGCGGACTGCCGTGCAACTCCGGCGTAGCATACGGGAGCTTCCGGCGAGGCCATGTGATCTATAGCTGATCTCCGCAGCCGTCACCGGAAGACCCTTCGGGCACGAAGACGTTGAGCACTTCCTGGAATCTGTAGTTGCAGACAGACGCCCTAACTTTTTTCCGCTTTGGGCCACAAAAATTTCAGGGGCAATTAGATATAGAACCTTCGAAATAGTATTATTTACATAATACTTATCATATTGTTATTTAAATATTTAGCAATAAAATTTTCAAATTCCTACTAAAATATTAAAATTCATGATAAAACCCAGCTTCTATTTTTTGTCTTTAACAATTTATGAATGATTTGATCATGATATGTAAATACTCATAAATATTTGGTTCCATAGCTCAAAAATATTTTATGAATGCTAAATTTTTTGAATAGTAATGTTTTGAACTCTATGTGTGTAAATATTTAATAAAAATAACAATTTCACAAAAATAAAATCTAAGCACCTCTATAAGAGAAACTCACATAATTAACTAATTTATGCTTTCTTAAGCTATTTGAAGTTAGAATTACTGACGCTATTCAGAAATAAATTTTATGAGTGAATTTTACATATCAATCATCAAAATCATTGAATATTAATTTTAATAATTTAAATTTTAAATATTTTTTTCATTATAATCACATGTATCACATGTATTACTCGTTAATAGAATTTTTTTGTGTAAATTTTTTATGTCTAAAATATTATATTTAAAATTTAGATGAGTAAAATCAATTATTCAATTTTTTGAGAAATGTTTATGTAAAAATCTCATTCTATAAATGCCCGCACATTCATAGCCCTAAATCAATCAGCCGCAACCTCCGCCCCCAAAACCCCTCTCTTCCACATGAATCGAAGCAAACCCTAGCACTGTTCATCCATCGCCTCTCTCGCCTTACTGTATCTGAATGAAATTAGAAGCATTTGTAAGATGCATCGCTTCCGTGCATTTTTTCTCTTACTGCAAAGCCTTGTAGGGGCTTGAGTTGTCGAAGGTAGTTCTTCTTGCTGGTAGGAGTTGCTTAGGCGGTGAGAAGCTTGCTAGCCGTCGCGGCTGTGACCAGATAATGTGGGTAGGTCGTCGGAGGGACTAGGGTGGGCTTCGGCCATTTTGTATCGGCGATATTCTCGGCTGAGAGGGGAGGTCTTCGTGCAAGATTCTGTCAGATCTAACGTATTAGCTCACACTCTCCGTCTCTCATCCTAAGCCAGGGAGTCCAGAGGAAGTTGTATTTTTTTTTTTCTTTCCCCCATTACCGAGCCAGATCGTTGGTTACTTTCTAGACTCCTACGATGGCGTTCAATCTTTAGGAATCGCTTTTTATGCATTTACTGATTTATATTTTTTTCTTCTTTTGAGAAAGTTGATTATTGTGCTTTTTACCCTTTTTGACTGATAATAGTTATATTTTACCATTTTCGTAAGTTTTAGGAACCAAGTAAAAAAGGTTTCAAATTTAGATATGTTTTAAATCATTAAAATTTTCTTTTCTTTAAACTTTTTTTTTTTTTTTATTTTTTTTTTTTTAATTGTTTTACAAGATTTTTTACTTTTTTCTTTTTAATTGTGTTACAAGATGATGAAATGCACTGGGCTCTGAGCATGTTCTCTGCATCTTGGATAATGAAAGAATTGCATTTGCCTAGAAAGCATTGGCTGATTGTCTCACATATCCTGATAAAATAAATGTCACTTTTTCAGAGAATTTGAAACTATTTGTTAAGTGTGCGTTTTATTTTTCTTTAATAAAGTGTTATATTGCTTTGCAAATCTCTTAGTTGTCATTAAAATGTTTGTATTTCATGGAGAAGTATAATGGTGAGGCTAATTGCAACAGTTATATTGGTTTGGCAGGAAATCTTTTTTGTATTACCTAAAACTGCAATTGTTTATATTCATGGATTTAAGAATAACAAAGAAGAAAAACTTAGTTAATCAAAGTAAATAGTGTTCTACAATAATTTAACCCCGTAAAATAGGTACACTCTAGTTGTGAATCTATTTAGCTATTATCTAAAATTTGTTTACTCTGTTTATCTTTTAGGGAGCTATACCTTCAAGACTATAATTCATATCCACTACGATGTATTTCTTAGACTTGCCAACCTAATATTCTCAGGGTCGGGGTCTGTTTGAGGCAGCTTATTGAGGTGCGGCAACGTTTTGAGAACACAACTGTACTGTTTGAAAAACGCATTCGAGTTATGTTTTGGTGCTGCCTCGATACGCACTTCGCGAAATGGTTAATAGGGTTTGTCACAGAATAGAGCTTGTGTCCTGCCTCTGCGACTCGCGTTAGGGTAAGGAATTGCACTTGTGTCCTTCTCTGCTCTCCCTCGCCCTCTCGGTCTTTGTTCTACCTTTTGCTCTTCACCCTTGCCGTGATTGTTACCGCGTCATATGCGGTATGTTTTTCTATCACCTAGCTGTGATACTAGAAGACAAATCTTATTTTTCTTCTGATTTGTTTTTGGAGGTGGAGTTGCAAGGAAGTATTTACGAAGATTTTAAGAATTTTTAGTGTGCTTTCATTATTTTGCACTGAAATGTTGGTTTATGAGTAATTTGTTTCTTCATATTTCGAATATTAAAAATTTCGCTTGAGAATGTTGTTATAAATACTGTGGAGCAAATTTTTGTCATTGTTGTAGATGCTGAAGAATGTTGGTATACCTATTGATGAAAGTGTTAAAAACTGTCATTATTTTGGATGCTGGGAAATGTTGAAATTGTGGCAATGATCTTTTTCAATCGTAATGCCCTGAAAATCATAAATATTCATGTTGTTTTCATTTCGTATGTTGCTTATATAGATTCCCCTCGCCATGCTCCGATATTGTCATCTTTAAGAGATAAAATTGTCACTGGTTGACAATTAATGAATCAAATTTAGTTGTCCTGTCACTCTTTATGTTAGGATTGTTTTTGTAGTAATTATGTGAGTAATTTATATATACATAGGTGTTAACTTGCTTAAAGGTAGAATATAGCAGATTCAATTTGAAAATGTTTATAAAATAAAGATAGGAATGTTGATTGAACAACCTCTTAGTTATCATTTGGTGGTATGATTATTCTACTAAAAAAATGTGTTAACTTTCAAACTTTTGTATGCATTACAATTAGTGAAATTTCTTTCATTATTTCACTCCACTAAAAGTTCTAGTATAGAATTGTAGTCCTTGTAGTATGTTAACAAACATGACCCTTAAACAGTCAGAGTATGTAAAGTTTTTCTTCTTCATCTATTTGGCGTTTTATTTATTAATGATTAGATAGAATATTGGGTACGAATGGAGTCGCTGGTATGGCTCTGTATGTTAAAGCACAATATGAAGAGAATGTAGAGTATATTTAAACATATTATCTCTAATCATTTATTCTTTATCATAAAATTAAGGTAAGTTTTGTGGCTGACTGTGGTGGTTTATTTAGTAAAGTTTCAATAGTTAGAGATAGAAA